AGGTCTCTGAAGGGACGGGCGGTCCATGTGCAGGAGCGGAACCGGGCATCGAGCTGGGCTTAACCATGCTCCCTCGGACTCAGCCCAGGGTTCAGAGGGGGGTAACTGGACCGTGGTAAAATAGGGAGCACGAAAAGCAAGCTTGGCGGGAGGTTTTGTAATTCAAAGCTGCCTTTCTGAAAAGTGTAATTTACAGTCATGGAGAAAAAAGTTTATATATATATTTATATGATATGTATTTGTATATACAGTAAACAAATAAACACACACATACATATATATATATATACTGTATATAGGCATGTGTTATGTTTATGCAAAATAAAAAATGCAGTATTTATAATTAAAGGTAGGGTATGGGATTTGCAAAATGACCAGCAGATTTTGAAAATACACAACTCAAAAGTTCTTCCCTCCAATGCTGGCCCTGACACCACCCATTAGAAGAACATGGATGCGCAACTTGCACTTACTCTTTCTCTCTCTGTGTACCGGGTTGACTTGCACTTACTGTGTCTGGGTCACAAGCGTTGAGTATGCGCACGAAAAGGACACAGGTGCGAGGGGGATGGGGGGGGTTTGGTACGACCGTTCGATTGACGCACTTACTGTCCAATGATTCTAGGTGGTCTTGGAAAGGATTGGCTGGAGGGATTGGATTAAAAAAAGAAAAAAAAAAGAAAAAAAAAATCACATACCCCACCTTTACAAAGAACAACTTTATTTTAAAAGTGCTCTTTAAATTCTTATTGTTAAACTTCTCATCCTTGTTCAAAACATTGAAAGGGCTGATGCTACAAAAGAGAAAAAAAGACCAGAAGCATTGAAACGACCATGTGGAGTCAAAACCCACCAGTGTTCACACAAACTAATTAAAAAATGCCACTGCCATCTGCGAACTCAATTAAATAATGTTAATTCACTTTAATTTCAATTTATCTATGTTGCAGTCTGAATCAGACGGTAGAGAGTGGAAAACAAAGAAGTGTAATGAAAGAGTGTAACCTGGCCCTGTCCCTCCCAATGTGGGCTCTCAGGTCATGAACACCATCATTTAATTTGGTCTCATGATTAGTTCTACTAGTTCAGAACCTTTTCATAAACTTATAAAATCAGAGAAAATGGAAGGATACTGCGCTACATTCTTTAGTCACAATTTCTTTGAGGTAAAAGACAGATAAAGTAAAACTCAAGTGAAAGTGAACATGACAGCACAAAGTTACTAACATCTTTCTCAAAACTTTGAGTTTTTTCGTCTTGGTTGTGAGAGAACTGGCCCCTAAAGACGACACCGGCTCACTCCGGAAGGCTTTATGTAAATCTAAAGAGCTTTACAGTGACTGCGTTTGCCGTTTCTTTATATTAAAATACAGACCATAATTTATGAAGCGTGAACTGATGAAAATCCTCAGATCAGTGCGTCCCTGTGTGGAAGACTGCTGTTAAACGCTTTGCTGCAAAAGACAAACGACGAGGGAGATAAAAAAGAGGAGGAGAAAAAGATGTACTAGTGAATCAGAACATCCCTTTCTTTTTTCGCAGCCCAAGACATCCTATTCCACTCTTCCTTGATGCGTCCAGATTAATTCTTCAACAAAAAAGCATCCTGAAATGCTAATTTATAAAAGTTCTTGAGAGCCAAATAAGTTTATCTAGATCAGGGGTCGGCAACCTTTTTGTCATGAAGTACCATTTTTAAGCTCATTTTCATAATGATCTTAATTTTCAGAATGATCTAATTTTTAAGATCATTTTAGTGTCACTACTTTTAATTAAGTTGACTGTGCTGAGCAGCCAAACTTTCGGCTTAATTTTTTGGCAGTTTGCACGTCGGCATTCTGAAGAGATGCTCAGCTTCTCTGCCGTGATGCGTGCTCCAGTAGTGCTGTCATATCTGGGTAACAGGAGCCGTCATAACACACTCTCGTACTGTATGATTAGATTTTACCATCTAAGGAAGAGTAAAATTTACATTTGAGGCTTCAACAACTATATATATTTTGTCTGGTTTCATCTGGAATGCGAAAAAAAAGCTGACCCCTGATCTAGATCTTTCCATCCTTTGAAAATAAAATGTGAAAATTACTAAACTTACTGTAATTTACATGTAAAGAGGCAACTACCAGACAGAAGAAGACCGCAAGTAAGCTAGATGAATCTAAATTCAAATAAATACACACTTAAAGGTGCACTGCATTTAGTAGTTTGGTGCTAATTTAAAAAGTTTGATACATTAATAACAAAATTGTGTTTTTGAGAAGAATCAGCTAGCTAAAGAACTAATGAATATACATTTGACAAGGCAAAATCATGTTAACAGCAAAAACTGTCTAATTACAAATAAAATGCTAAACTAACGTCAATCATTTTAAAATGAATTAGATGAAATGTACAGTATGTAAAATGGATATTCATTTTGAGATTTGTAAAGCTCAAATATCAGGATGTGTAAGCAGAATGACGGTGAACCGAAAGGGGAGCCCTTTAGAAAATATTCAAATCTATACCAGATTGTGTTTACAAAACCATGATGACATTACCATTCACACACGCCAGATTCTCTCTGTGAACGCATGTGTCTTCAGGGCTGCTCTAATCCACAAACTACTTCCAACATTTTCAACAATTCCATTACTTTGTGTTTTTTCAGAGATTATGGAGGTGTCCTATTCATTCGTTTTTCAACATGCACCTTCCGCCTCACCTCAGGTCTGCGCGTGTCTGAGGGGATTCCTCCAGCAAACACAAACACACATAGAAGACTCATAAACAAGGCCTTTGGGCTTCCCTGTATCTTTATTCTGAATGTGTCTCTAACTAATCCCATTTGACTTTTTTCATGCTAAGGTCATCTCATACACCACACTCAGAGGAAACAACCTCCGCATGCAGTCAAAGAAAGGAATCATAATCCGTACAAAGTGGGTGTGGGATAGAGATCGAGGGAGCACATGATCAGAATAAATAGGGTTCTGCTGGAAATATGACATCTCCGATCAAAAACCCAACATTGAGAATCATTCTGACGGACCAATCCCTCTGGTTTTAGTCAGACAGATCTGATGTGAGCCCAACGGTTTACTCACAAGGCAACTGAAGGCAAGGCAACTGAAGGCAACCTCCTTTTCTGAGGAGTTGTTCTTATTTTCCTGATGTCTATGTGTGTGTGTGTCCTCACAGGCCACTGAATTTGGGTAATTAAATGTTTAAGTTGGGCAGGTCTTCTCAGGCGCGGACACACACAAGTGCTGTGCTGTGATAAACCCCTCGCTATAATTAAATATGGACTACATTATAACGCACACACTCGCAGGCGTAAATAAAAACACTCGGCCTGTGGGGATTTAATCTGGCCATGTATAAGCCCCTCTGCAGCAGCCCGACGCCATCCTTGCTCTCATTCACACTCGGTGGGCTTCCCTTCGCCCCCTGCACCCTACGCCCCACACCCTCAGCCAGAGAGGGACCGCAGAGCCAGTTAATTAGACTCACTAAAGCATTGAGTGAAGAGAATCGTAATGCATATATAACGATCCTACAGAGCAGCTAATACATGCCGGTATTCAAATGCTCGGAGTGAAGCGTGCAGGAAGAGGACAGAAAGCAGATGAGAGGGATGGAGTGAGTGGTCCAGGATGTCAAAAAGTGAAATGAATGGGGAAAACAAGAAATGTGGTGCTGTTGGAATAAAGTGACGAAATAAAGACCCTGTAAAGATGACAATAAAAACTAGATTCGCCTTTTCCTGAAGGAAATATCACAATGACACGCCCCTATTAAATTTACTTTCCATTAAAACCATGTGATTTGGATGTTTCACAAGTCACAATCACAAGTCGGTATGCATATATTACAGGGACATCCTCACAGGCAGTTTTCTAAAATTGAGATTTTAAAACAAACTTAGACTAACATTCAAATGTCTAGTTTTAGATTTTTTTTTTTATTTTTTTTTTAAAGAAATTAATACTTTTGATCAATTTAATATGTCCTTTCCGAATAGTGACAGTAAAGACATTTATAATGTTACAAAATTTCTAATAAATACTGTTTTTTTAAGTTTGAAAGAATCTTGAAAAAAAACATATCATGAGTATTAAGCAGCATTAGAGTTTTCAATACTGATAATAATAATTAATGACTCATGAGCAACGAGTCAGAATATTGGAATGATTTCCGAAGGATCATGTGACTCTGAGGACTGGTGTAATGATGCTGAAAATGTAGCTTTGCCATCACAGGAATAAATTACATTTTAGAATAGATTAAAATACACAGTTAATTTAAATTGTAAAAGTATTTCACAATGTTATTGTTTTTAATTTAGATTTGCATAAAGCATAAGACTTTACAAAAAAATTTTTTTACACTAATATTCAAAATTTTGAAGTATAAAGTTTACAAAAATACAGTATAGTTTAAAGTGAAGGTTAGGGCTGTTTTTATCTAACAAAGAATGATCAATGAAGTCTGTATAGTGACCTGCCAAATTGGACAGCATCATAGGAGCCTTTTCCGAAAGGTAGACTGGTCTGTAAACTACCATTTTGGTCCAAATCTAAAGGGCTTATCATACACATGGCGCAATACGGCGGCAAGCGGTTTTTTTTTTTTTTTTTTTTTTTTCTAATTTCAGCACAATGCAGTTATCTTTTTCACATCGTGCGGCACATTGTTTAAATAGCAAATGCATTTGCGCCTGGTCTGAAAACGAGATGTGTTCAGGCACACTGCTGGCACGTTGCTATTTTGAGGCAACTGAAATAGACTGCACCATTATTTTGTTATTTAAAGGGCGCATTAGTAATATGAGCCTAAAGGCGGGTTACAATGTAAAAGATTATTATTGTGTACATTAAAGATATGGTGGAAACCGGCTTGTCCCATAGATGGTCTGCTTGCACGTTTAACCTCTGTTCTTTTAAGATCCGTTTCCTCTCTGGAGACGTTCAGTCTTTCCGCTTTTCGCATCAAGTCCTAATGTGTTGAGGAAGATTTACCTTAGGTGAAGATGAGGCCAACTCTCTCCCAATCACAGCTGTGACAGCTGAGGGTGCCAGGGCAGGTGGAGTGGACGTTCCTTCAGGAGCTGAAGTTTTTGGTGCCGGGCCTCCAGGGGCCACAGCAGTGTTGGGTCCAGCACTAGGAGCCTGAGGGGCCCGGCGTTTGGTGCTCTTATCTGAGGTGTTGCTGTCTGTGGTGGAGGACCTGGGCTCATAGAACGGGTTTGATCTGAGTGGGAAAACAATTTGTTGTATTAGCAAATGAAGCTTAAACAAGCAAATTGGTGATGTATGTGCTTTTGTTCACCTAACATGTAATTGTCAAATTAGCAAAATTTGTTAGTTTCAAATATTTTGCTTTTCAGCACCTTTCCACTTGTCTGTCTGTTACGTGTGTGTGTGTGTGTGTGTGTGGTTGTCTTCAGGTAAAGGAGGCATTAGAAAGCATCATTAGCCAATAAAACGCTCTGCTGACTGCGAGAAAGACCAGGTGCTCCAGAGGTCACGTCTTATGAACTTTGACCTGTGGCCTCGTCAGAGAGCACACTGACAGGCGGACACAGACGTCCGCTGGCATCAATACACACTGCTGTGTAAAGGCCCATCACTCATCACAGACATACACACATACATGAACACACACACACACCCACAATAAGGAAAAAAGACTGAGCAGGTATTCAGTTGAAAGACAAGGTTAAAGACAAAGTATCCCAAGCTTCCAAGCTTATGGACAAAGACAGAGAGTGAGAGAGCAAGAGAGAATGAGAAAGGAGGTAGGAAAGAGCTGACAGAAATGCAAACAAGTAAAAAAAAAAGAGAGAAAGACGTGGAGAGTGCAGTCAAAACAACTGGAGGTGAAAGAGAGGACGAGAGACAGAAAGAGAAAGATAGAAAGCAAATTAGAAAGAAGGTATTAGAGAGAGATTTAAATATGTCTCATGTAAAGTACAACTTCCTTAGGCCAATCCTGTGACCTATCAAAATTGTAAAAATAATGATCAGTTTGCAACAAAATTTCGTAAACTTTTTGTTTAGAAAAATATAACCGTTTTTCTTGCAGGTGTGACTAAACTTTGTTAGTGTTCGTACTGTGTCCAACAAGTTACCCATCTGATAAGAACTGCCATTTCTGTTGCATATGAAAAACTTCTAATGGCATACAAATCGAAACGGCGATTCTTCTTTGAGCTGTGAAGCGCAGACAGTGAATCAGCTCAGACCAATATTAGACCGTACAGCGCAAGCTCAGAACAGGTTTATTCTCAGTCGAGGGCCTGTATCAATCATGTGATCATGTTACTACACAGCAGTGAGAGATCCACTGAGAAGCGTTTGAATTCGGCACAGTATTACTAACATCGTTGCAAGATCTAGAGAAAAGAATTCGAATTCAGCGCAGAATTCTCTACTATAAACCATAGATATCAGATCAAACAGCACTGACGTGAAAGATATAGAAGGCTTTTCTGTCCACAAATCACCAGCATTCACTATGGATTTAATGTTGTATCAGTAACTGTAACCATGGTATTGTGGCAGAAATATATATATACACACATACATATATATATATATATATATGAAGAGTTCAGATGCAAAAGCCTCTAAATGCCATTTGAAATTTTCTTCTTTAATGATGATTTTTATCAAGCTTGTATATTTAAGTTCAGTGATTTCACTTAAATAACAATTAATAGGTAGATATCATTGGCATTTAAGTGAAATCACTGAACTTAAATATACAAGCTTGATAAAAATCATCATTAAAGAAGAAAATTTCAAATGGCATTTAGAGGCTTTTGCATCTGAACTCTTCATATATATATATATATATATATATATATATATATATATACACACACATATATATATATATATATATATATATATATATTATGTTATTCATTTTCGGGTTCGTACAACCTTTTGAAAGTTTAATTAGTTTACTTTTAAATAGGATTTTTATATATTACTAATGTTAATAAAAGTTCATTTTATCTGCATCTTCTCTCAAGCTCTGTGCTATAACAAGTAAACATGTAACATTATTAGTTACGGCACTTATTAATGCAAAATAATAGTAATTTTGTGATTAAATTACGTTTATGATTAAAAATCCCCCCCACCCCCCAGCGCTACCAGATCCGGTAGAACTTAGTGGTAGCAGTGCAACTTGTCTCACATGTTAGTCTGAAACTTTTTAATTATATATTTATGCAGGGATCCAGTCAGATTTTATTTTGAAAGACAATTATTTTATTCAGCAAGGATGCATTCAATTAATTAAAAAGTCAGAGTAAAGAATTATAATGTTACAAAAGATTTCCATTTCAGATAAATGCTGTTCTAAAAAGTTATCAGCGTCTTCTCTCATTTTCTCTACATAAAGTCAGGTTTGGAGACGTGTGTCCCTGCTGGAGCACTCTGAGTGAGTGAGTGAGTGACGGATGAGAGAAATGCAGAGATGAACAGACAAGGCCAAAGAATGTGGGGAACAACAGAAGCCTTGTTCCTGCTGAAAGAACTCGCTCACCACTTTCTTCTCTTCCGACAAGTGCTTTCTCCTTTGCTCATGCACAACATCATGCACATGCACACAGAGCAAACAGAGGACAAGTTGTGCATCTTCCTAAAGCGAAATGTTTTGGCAATTAAATTAACAATCACTTAAAATGTTCTGCTGTAACCAAGGGCCACTCCCATAGTGTATCCCAGAATTAATAGACTTACTCATCTAGCTCCTCCTCCTCTGTCCTGGCTGTGTTGGCGTACAGGTATTTGCTCATGTCCACCGGCCGGACGTTTTTTCTCTTGCTGCTTCTGGGTGGAGATATTTTAGGCTGGGGTTCGGGCTCAGACTCAGCTTCGTCAAACGGGTTCCCGCATTGAGAAGGATCTGGGTCTGTGTCAGTCTCATCAAATGGGTTTGAGGGATAAGTGGTGTCCTGATCACACACAGGCTCCTGATCTTTGATAGTGGGCCAAACATGGGACTCAGGAGATGCTTCTAGAAATACACAAACAATGCACAACATCCCCACTGTATTATCTAAATTAAAGCCATGATTACAGTGCTATAAAATGTATAAACATGAAGAAACACAATAATTGAAAAAATAATTGAATAATCTTATGATTGAAACAGTAATAACTCCTGTAATCAATTTAATACAATACAGATCGTTTCAAAGCAGCTTTACAGTGATAACAGGAACATTATTCAATGATGCAAACAGAATTAATTTCCGCTGTACAGCAGCTCTTAAAGAAAATACTTTAGTGTCACTATTCAGCTGAAATCAGTTCAGTTGTAAAGATTATCAATTATTTAACGGGTTCATTTCATCTATAATGCAGCTGGAGACAGTGATAGTGATGTCATTGACCAGCTCAGTTCTCATCCAATAGTGTCAGTCCAGTGTAAACCAAAAATAAATTGCTGTTATATGAAGCTATTCTAAAAGTTCATTTTTTTTTTGTTAACTTCATCGAAAATGACGCGTTAAACTAGACTGGGGAGAGAGGAGCTGAGAATAATGAAAAATATGCGAAATACTTATTTTTTTTAACAATCATGGCATGAAACAATCTTGTACACCCCAAAAATAAAATAAAGACTTTGTAACAGGGCATAATAGGAGCCCTTTAAAAACCATTATATGATGTTCCCTTTAAAAAATAGAATGCACATGGATTAACTGTTCACATTAAGATCTAGAACATGCATTTACAAAATAGGGTGAATTTTCATTTCATGTCAGGTTCAAGACTATCTAGTTCCTTGGGTCATACTGACAACCCACTGACTAGTTGCATTTGAAAATATGTAGTTTTACACATCCCTAGTATCAAATGCATTTGTATATTTAAAAATGATCTTAATAACGATTTTTCAAAATCCAGCTGCAGTAATCATTCCCTCTTCACTTAATACATCAACACACATCTCAGATTGTTAATGAGTACAACCTGCCCTGTTGATAAGGGGGCAAAGGGGTTACAAAAAGGGTCAAGGGTCACTCCTTACCATCCTCATCCGGGTCACCAAAAGGATTAAGGTCAACCAGGTCATTAGGTTCATTGAAGGGGTTAGAGCTCATGTTGCTCTGGTCTTGGTCCTCCTGATCCAGGAAGTTCAACTTACTGATGAGCTCTAAACAGTCAGCATCCATCCACAATAACAGAAAAGAAAGGAAAAGAGAACATCATTAAGTCCAAATCAATCCACGAGAAGAACAGATGAAACCTTAAAAAAAAAAGCAAAACTGACAAAAAATAACCAATGAATAAATGGTTGACATCTGCACTTTGAAGTGAACCACACTAAAATCCTACAGATCCAAAGAGCCGATGTAGGGTTTCATTCAGAACTATTACTCCCACCATGAGCCAGCTGGCCAAAAAAACAGTCTGTGTGCAGGGTGTGAGACTGAAGTGCTCTCTGAGGTGATAAGAAAGGTGTGACGTCTCTGTTCGCTCCACCACCATGTCACCCTGACCCATATTAGGCCATCAGAGCGCTCAACCACATGACCAGTGGTGTCTTTAAAGACCTGTTCCAGGATCATCAACTCCATGGTCACGGAAACAAAGGTGGGTAGCTGGGTTCACTACAAACTGCAGAAAGTGGAACGAGGGCACAAGATCACAAATGAAGAACGCTAAATAAGGAGAACAATAGAACAACACGTGGGGCAAAAAATATCAATGAACTTAACAGACGCTCAAACACACAGTACAGGCAAAGAGAGGCAAGAAGGAGAAAGACAGAGATAGAGTATGAACAAAAGAATGAAGGAAGGTGAAATCTGAAAGACCTTCAGAAGAGGAGGCAGGCTTATTTGCTTGCTTTAGGCAGTCATCTGGATCTCCATCTATAGAGCTGAGAGCATTCAGCTGCCTCACAATCTCTGAAAACAGCACAACATACACTCAAATCTGTATAATGCAATCAGAAGTATGCAATACATACGCACTCGTGTGTGTGGGTCTCTCTGAACAGAGACTGAACTTTGTCTTCGCTCTAACAAACTGGTAAAAACTGATAGGAGAGCATCGCCATGGCAACAAAGAGATTCCTAAACGCATACAATGAATAAACAACTCAAGCATTTCCATAGGACCTCCATACATACACTTATAAAGGGATGAAAGCACATGGGCTTAATGTTAAGACTCCACAATATGGGGAGTGATGGGGGGCTGGGTAATATCAATGTCTCAAACACACACACACACACACGCAAATCAAACATATATTACACACGGGACATATGTTGGATGGACCTTATCATACACATCATAAACAAGCAGTGCAATGTGTATAAAAGTAGCTAATAAACAAACTGACCACAACAGAGCAAAAGTAAACAAGGGCAATAAGTCTTCATATGCACAGGCAAATACACACGTGTGCACATACATACAGAAACTAAACCACAAAAGAAAAAGGATAACTCTAGCTTAAATGAAACAGTTGAACTGAGACTGAAGAAATGAAGAGTGAAGAAAGACACGCTGAAATTGACAGGGGACTTTAAAACCACACACATCTGTTCTAATTCTTTAAATGCAACCTAGAAATAAATATACGGTACACTTTATACAAATGAACCACACAGCCCAAAGTAACCACATCTCTAGAAAATAAATATGAATATAATAGATTTTAAAAAAAGGAACAAAAACAATGGAATAGATTAAAGCAAAACAAAGAGAACACAATAGAAAAGACTATAATTGATGTAAAATAATAAAACAATATAATATAACTAATAATGAATCCGAAAGAAATATGCAAGAATTAAACAAAATTAAATATAAATATAATAGGACAAATAAAGGAAAAGAAAAAGAATAGAATAAAATCAATTAAAAATTAAATAAAAAAATAACGGAACAATAAAACAGAACAGAAATAAAACCGAATACAAAAAAAAATCCTGAAAAACTTACATTTCGCTGCATTTGTACTGCAGTGAACCACTGTGCAAACAATTAACTGGAACAGAGTAAACAAAGGAACAGAAAACAACTAGAAACAGAAAAGCTCTTAGGTGGTGTTGTGTTTGTACAAAAATATCGAATCCACCGATAAATGGTCTTCATATGAAATCAAGCAAGTCTCACCTGTGATCTTGGCGGCCTTCTCCTCCTGGTTCACTCTGTTCTCCTCATCTTCCTCATTCTCTTCCTCAAAATCATCCAGATTGCCAATATCGGCCTGCTTCATGCTCATCAGACTGGCCAGACTCTGCATATCTTCATCACTACACAGAGAAAGAGACAAAAGCACAATATAAATCTGATGTGAAATCATCATAAACGAGGCACTTCACACGCTACTCGTTTGGACTGACTGTTCGTCAGTAGGCCCAGAAAGAATCTGAGGACTTGATTTGCATTTTCAGCATTTATTTTGATGTAAAATAAATTTGAAAAATGGATTTAAATGCAGTTAAATTGAGAATTGTCATTTCGTTTTTTGATAACACACTCTCCATACAAACTTACCCTAAAAAAGTGAATATTGCCATTCATTCAATGTGCTTTTGTGTAAAAAGCATTTTGATACACTGAAGGAGATGGGTGGAAGGAAAGAAGAAAGCCAGGTTGACAGAGAGAGAGCGAGCGAGAGATGATTGTGTAAAGGGAATGCCCTTCATGGTCCTGCTCATAAGAGGCATTGCAATACGGACATGCATTCCAGCCAGGGCATTCACAAGCACGGCGAGATAACGCTCCAGGATTAACTCCCTCTCTTCCTTCCAATGTCCCCGTTTTCTCCTTCTCTCTATCTATCTCACATTTCTTTATGAATGTGGTCCAGTCTTTCTTTGGCAGGCATGGAGCTTATTTGAACTTATGTAATGGGGTTTATTTGTGCTGTTGACATGATTCCCATGGGTTAAGAGCGGTTACACTTCCGCCACATAACCTCTGTCACACACACACACGCCACAAAAGCCACACAAACACACACATATCTCATATAGCGCAAGGGTGAAATCACATACACCCATACACGCTTCTTGCCTTCTTTATTTAGAGGAAGGCAGAGATCAGACGCAAAAAAAAAGGAGGGAAACAGGGATATTGCGAGACGAGTGAAGGAAAGACATTTACACTCTCAAGGCCAGTGGCTGGAAATATTCCATCGGACTTCTGTTTGCTGTGACACATGTCAAAGTCTGGGACAAAGCTCTCCAACAGGATTTGATTTTTCATCTTCTGACATTTTCTGAGCAACAGAACCCAGGGCACAAAATTTGGAAAAACTATTCAAATAAAAATAATAAATCAAATAATTAATTATAATTAATTATAAATATAATATTAAAAGTAATGTCCTTCCGATACGCATCCTTGTTTTCGCATGGGCCCGGTTGCAGTCTATTTTTTTCTGTAGCCACTCCAAAGTTCGAACAAGTCTTTTGCATTTTACAGCGGGTGAATCTGTTTTCACTGTTGATTGTCGTTTGAACCTTTCTGGATCTGCCAAATTGATAAGTTTAATTATATCAAGTGCTGTGAGAAAAGGCTATAAATCTCCGCCTCCAACATCCTCGCACGCAATATAGCGTATACTAGCCGAGACTCCTCCTTTATGTGTACAGATGTGATGTAAAGACATGCTTGAATCTCCCGCAGAAATCCACCAGTACCACTGGAATTAAAAACATTATTACAAGCTTACTGCTTTGAAAGGCAAACAGATAGCTTTGAACACTGGCTGGTTATGTATTTTCTCAAAAATGTATTTTGGATCATTTTTAACCCCAAAAAAGCTACAGAGTGCAGTTTTAAATAAATACTTTCGGTATCCTAGATACACTTCTGGGGGCATATTACAGAAACTTTCTATCCTCAGTCTTAAGTTAAGACAAGAAAAATGTAGGATTTTTCACAAATTTGTATTACAGATGCAAATCTTATATTGATTTAGGATTCTTATCCTATCTTTAAAAATCTCATCTCATCTGTAGTTAGGCAATTATCTTAAACTTAAAAGGAAAAAATCTTAAACCCCTCCATCGAGTTCGGTAATCAACTCTCAGGTCTGTTACCAGGCAGCCAACTACAAGCAAAAAGCTGCTGTGAATTAAAACAGAAAAACTATAACAGAAAGAGATTCTAGAAAAGATAATAGAAATAACTGAGATTAAAACAGAAAAAACTAAATAAGTGGTGCTTTTCATTAAAGTCCCCGTGAAATCAAAATTGAACCTATTTACTTTGTTAGCGCATATTACTAGTCTTGTGGTGAACAATTAATCCGTGCAAGTGAATATATATTAAAAAAATGTTTAACCTTAGTAATCTTTAATCAAAATCTGAAAAGTTACTTCCGGTCTGGAACGGTTTCTTTTTCTGATGACGTAGGTTTCACAACTTGGGTGGGGAAACGCTTAACCACTCCCCTCAAACCGTTAGTTTGCTATGAGCGAGAGATGGAGAGGAGGAGTGCTAGAGTAAAACCCTGCCCTCTGTTCAATATTCCGTTTCACTTGGACATACGTCACAGCACTGGAGAAAAATCGTTTGCAACTTCCGGTTCACGGGGACTTTAAGTAAAATTATGATAAATTTGGTAGAAAAGGCAAAGCCTAGTCGTTTTATTTCATAGGCATTTGTAATTTTGTGTCATTATTTTGTGTTTGTGTCAAGTGCAGCACATCATTTGGGTGTTCACAAACTCTTTCCACCATCAAACATCGCTGTTCCTCATCTTGTATCATTAAAAAAGTGACGTCATTCTCAGACAGGGCTATATGTGATTTTATTTTTATTTTGAAGTTAGGACACCAGTGGGGTTGTCCTAAAGTTAAGACTGTTTTTAGGTTAGTTAGAGTTAGGATGCTTCTGTAATACTACTAGATTAATACAAGATTATGCACTTACGAAATGCAATTTTGTAATAGCTTTTGTCCTAATTGAGGTCCAAACTGAAATTGCCATGGTTACCATACAGTTAAGATATGGAGGAGTGCATATGAAGACGGGATGAAATCACGGGAGAGAAGAAGGGCTGGAGAGGGGGATGAGAGGGGGAGAGATCCAGGAAAAGGAATGTTGGGAATGTGAGGTATTGAGAAACGGAATGAGAGCGTAATTTGAAGTGGCAGCATTCCTTCAGGGTGGGTGTAGTCAGCTGGTTTTGGAGGTGTAGTGAGCTGCTCTTACGTGGCTTTGCCCTCTCGCAGGAAGATGCAGGACAGGGAGAACTGTAGCGTTGCTGAAACCACTTTCTTGGACAGCGGCTTGAACTTGAGCTTGACGTCTGTCTGTGTGGGCATGGCACTGGCGTACTGCTTCATGTTAATGCAGCTGGTGGCCAGCGCTTTCCGGCGACCCGACGGAGATTCCTAAAATAACACGCAAAAAAGAGAGAATGCAAATTAAAATACTGTTTAAAAATAAAACTTTTACTTTAATTTAATTACTACAATACCACATTGGGACAAATCAATATGATTGACTGACATCAATATGTTTTTAACAGTTTCAAATGCTATGAAATGCATATGACAAAATAGCCCTATGGTGCCTTGAAAATATATATTTTTAAATCAATCAAAAAGAATGAATGAAAGTTGCTAATCTTCACACTCACGGTGGGTAAAATCACTGCCTGTTTTAACACGTTCAAAGCCCACACACACACACAGGCACACACACACACACACAGGAAACCAGCACTCCTGGAACATGTGCATACAAGTTTAAGCAGACGGTCTCAATATAGTATTATTAACTAAACCGAAAGCTAAAGCTTCAAGCAAATAAAATGACACTGAATTCTCAACAGTGACATAAAGTGTCATTTTGCAAGGCAAACTTAAAATTATTTTTTTAAACCAAGAAAAGGTCATATCAGAATTAATTTGCCAAAATGATTTAAATAACCAAACTCAGTAATAGTTTATCACGTCTGACACCAATAGAGTGAACTGGCCCTGTCATAATGGTCAATGGCGCCCCCTGTAGGTCAAAGGGTGGGAATATTTTAAGGAACTAGAAAGGAAACTCGAAATGGCCCAATTCTGGGCTCTTATTCATTTGCTTTATTTTTATCTATTTTTTTTTTCTTGTATGATTAGAGTTGTCAGGAAAACATAAATTCTGATATCTTATTAAAAATGATAGAAGAAAAGGGTTGAACACCAGCCATTCTCCAAAATGACTTGAGGGCAACAACATCTAATAAAACAGAACAAAACAAAACACTAGCCCACCTGCACCCTTTCCATTTGCCAGATAGGCCGGAAACACAGTTGGAGACGTTCCCTGACCTGCCTTTTCTTATTGAACAAAGCCAAAAAAATATCTTCACATTCAGTCTATGTTCTTAGGGCATTTTCACAGCTTGCTGACTAAGTATCAGCAATTTGCTGCTGGATGAAAGTACTACTCTCAAACATGTTTCAACACCATCACACAGGCCAGAGTGTATGGCTAAATGACAAAAAAAAATATGATTGATATTGGATATACATAAATTGAAATATATTTGCTCTAATTATTTTTTTTAAACCAGAGGAACATTTTAACCAAACAGCCGACATATTTAACATGATTGATGCAAGAAGTAAAATACAGTCAAAGTTCGTACAGTAGTTAAAGATAATCGGTTAATTCCAAATTGTTTTAGAATAAGTGAGCATAATTATTTTATATAACAATAACATTTTTAATACAGAGCATCGAAATTGTGTAAAGTACATTCTGTTCTTTAGAATTAGAGTCATGAACTGGTTTCTAAACCAATCGACTAATGAACACTGGATATGACTCAAACTAGTCAAGCGACTTTCTTGTACGTCTCTTGCTTTAAGCCATTATTTGGCCTTCTGTTCAGCAAGTATCTTTCCTTTTCAGCTTTCTCTATGGGTGAGATTCATATACTGTAGGCCTATTGTTCAGTCCTTTATGCTCTCTTCACTTTTATCTCATCAGGCCTGTTGCGCAAAGCAATCCAAAACAAAATGAGCAGAGTGAAACGAAGGCCCTGTGTCACCGCAGGCCTCTCAGAGAGCCTGTATTCATACACCCGACAGTGTGCATTTGTGGAACGACTACGTATAGATCTCCAGATATAATCTCACTTGCAGGCACATGTGTGTGTGTGTGTGTGTGTGTGTTTGCATGTATCAGTGGTCCTGAAAGTAAAGAGGAGCCCTTATCAGAGCAGAGATGCAGAGAGCTGAAGAGTGACTATATTCCGTCTCAGATATGCCTCGATACAGCTCCACACACACACACACAGAGAAAAATCAGCCGACTCACAAGGGCAGCGCACACTAACCCTTCTTCCTTCTTCCAGTTTGCTGAAGGTGATTAATCTGACCGAACGACGCCACTGGAGGTGCCGAAGAAGAACACCCCACGTGACGTGCCAGCGGCTGAAACACAGACAGAGACGTAAAGCACTCGAGCGCTGACCCGATCAAAACAACAGTGCCGCCTGCCAATCTCGCACCCAGACAAATTACCCACAATCCCCCACTCGAGCTGGGACGGGGGAGACGGTCCTCTGTGACTCCTTCAGTAAATGAAAACGATAAAAGGGAGAAAAAGCCTGCGTCTAAGATTCAAAACCGCTCGCCGACGAAGCCACTTGACATTTGTGTTGACATTTGAGCCCCTGTTGAATCGGTCGGAAATACAGCATGTCATCCCTGAAGAATCCAGCGCTCCAAAGCGTGTCTTATCGCTGAGATTATGCACTGGTATTATACCGAGCTAATAGTGCATGTAGGTCCTTTATGAATGAATTTCAAAATGCATCAAACACTTAAGAAGGATTTAGTCCTTCTCCGAAAAAATACTTAAGAATATGCAAATACGGCGGGGAAGAATTAGGTTTAACAGATTTGACGAGCGCAAACAATGATGGTGTTCTTTTCCCTGGCTGCCAGTGTCAATCAGAACCCCAGATTACCGTCCAGGGTTATGACAATGTGTAAAATGAAAAGAGACAATAAGACACTTTTAATTTATCACAGGGATATGACTATCAATACGCAGCTATTGTACCCACAAAATTGCTAAATACCTGGCGGAGAGGGGACATGAAGGTGCCAGGATGGCTCACTGCTGCCCCCTGCTGCTCCCTTAAGGGCATATCACCCTTCATTCACACGCGCACACACACACACACTGAGAGAATACAGTCAAACATAAGATTAGAAATATGAAAATGCATTAAACGTAAGCTGAAACTCCATTAGTAACAGACTACTAATATGTTAATATTTGGTCATTTTGAGACTATCAACATAAGTCAACAGCCTTGTAAATGGATAATATACATTTCTGTTTTTTAGTAGATTTTAACTAAATATTATAAAATGCTAAATATGTTAATTTATATTAAAGTTTTGTTTAAATCCCACATAATATCTTTAAATCACTGTGACCATTTAATCCCAAAACAGAGACGTTTTTACCAAAGAGTCGGAAAGCATAGTGCGGATTACATTAATAGCATTGTGCTGATTATATAAATAGGAAGTTAAAGAAAATATACAAAACACGCTGTTTTTAGTAATTGAAACAAAACTGAAATAAAGTAAAGAAATGTTGCCTTGGCTGCTAAACGAAAAGTACTAAAACTGAAATAAAAAAAACATCTAAATCTAAAAAAAAAATATTTAAAATTAAAACTGAAAATATAAAAATAAAAGCTACTATAAATTATTCATAAATAATATATTAGTGTATATATGCAATTAAATGTGTGTGTGCAATTAAATGTCTACATTGAAACTCGAAAAACACACATTCAAAATAGCAAGCATAGAGCAAGCATATACAGAATAAAATGGTGTGCAATTAAGAAAATGTTCAACCCCAATAACTGTAAAACAAGATATTCAGCAGTAATAAGCGATTAGAAACATTACTCTGAATGACGTCCATGGTGCCGTGACATGTTTGGATTGTCCACAGGCTTTCGCTCACAGTGTATCATGGACATGTTTGCCTTTGTCCCGTGCTTAAATGTGTTTTGTTAACACAATGCTAATCCAACGGCATAAGGATGGCGGACATGATACTTCAATTGACACAAATATTACTCAATATTTCCCATCTGCACGCGGTGTGTGTGTGTTCCTGTTAGACACCTGCAGGCTATCACACCTAAAGTGAACCTCAAACTTCCTTTGACTGACATTTCCAGGAAGCGCGAGGAAGAAAGGGGTGCGACCGGGAGCTTCATTCACTTTAGGGTGTGTATGTGTGTGGTGTGTTTAGGCGGGTGGCAGCCCCAGCTGTCCCAGTATTGATCCACAGCTGGTGCTAATATGGGGGGTGGGGGTCAGGGCTGTGGGGTTTCCTTCCCAACACACACACAAATATACTAAAGTAGAGGAAGAGTGAGATTTCACAATTCTATGTTGTGATTATATTAGTACTTTTACTTTTTGACTGATTCATTCTGAAGAACTGGCTCATTGAAGCAGTTCTTGGCTCCCAACCCGAGATGATCCCAGAGGGGATCAGAAAATGTAGCTCTATAAAAAAGAAGTATCAACATTGAGGGTGTTTGTCAAAGAAATGAGCCACAATAGGCTTTTCCATCAATAAGTGCCAGTTGCGTGTTTCTGCATGAATGCAGAGCTGAATCTAAATATATAAAAGAACAGACAAAGAGTAAAAAAAAGGGAGAGAACGGATGACACATTTTCAGTTGGCATCACCCAGGGCCTATTTCTGTCTGTCATCACTCATCTGTTGTGATTCAAATGTGATTTCCCCAAACTGTCATTGAGTGGCGCTCACACACACACACACACACACACACACACACACACACACACACACACACACACACACACACATACATACGCACACACACACAGATTAGGGGAAGTGTCATTATTTGTGGGAATTGTCTATTGAGGGTAGGGCCGGTGGCTGGGGGATTGCCATTGTTCCAGCTGAACATAAAAGACGAGCAAAGCCAACAGACCAAGACTTATGGAAATCAAAAATAATACCAGCCACCAAAATAATAAAAGAGCCCAAAACAATAACAGCCTATTATAAAAGAGAGGAAGAGAAGATGCCAGCTTAATACCTTCAGAGAGAGACAGACAGAGAGAGAGATGACAAAAAGCTGTGTTCAAATACTAGAGATGTTGTTTCCACAGCGTACCCACGCTGGGACGCCGACTGGTGCCTATGAGCACACAAAAAAAAATAACAATAGACAACAGAAAATAAATATCTCTCCACAACCCACCAAACCCATGACCTACAGTCTCTTTCAGGCTCTCCGTTGAAGGACAAGCATCCGCTGCCAAAATGACTCTTAACACAGACATCACATACAACAGGCCTGTGAAAGAACATTTATTTT